GATAAGGAGAAATATTTTTGTTCTATTTTTATTTTTGTTCAATTAAAGAAGTTAAATTTGTAACCTCCAGAAAGTTACAAATTTAGCTCCTCCCAACAATACTAAAAATGTAAAATATTTTTCCTTCCTTTAATCTTTTTCCTTTGTTTCCCTTAATCCTAATATGTAGAAAACTCTCTAGTATTGTTAACTATAGTTTATGATTTCTATTATAATAAATAAAAAATTTTTAACGGTATAGTAGTATACATTTTTCTCAAAAGGCAAGTTTCTATACACATTTAGACAAATTCCTGCTCCTTAATTTCAAATGCATGTTTTTCGCCCATTTCCTACTTAAATCCCATTTTTTTATTTACTTCTGAAAGCTCTTTATATACAGTATGTATTAACAGTATGATGTTGTCTGTATGTAAAGGTCAACTGTTTCCCTATTTTCGTTCATCAATTTTTGCTAATAAATACCACAATCATTTTATGAATGTAATTAAAGTTTTAAATTTTAGAATACTTGTACAATTACTATCAATTTGTACCTTTTCCCACTATTTCAGCTGGTGTTTCATTGAATGATGAAGTTTGACCAATTAAACAAGTAGATAATGAATTCTCTGATGTATTATCATGGGCTTCTGAAGAATACCTGTAACTGTGAAAACATCACTAGATTTAAATTTTTCCTTATTTTTCTATAACAAATTTTTATTGTCCAAAAAAACCCGAGAAATTTTTTTCCTTTCCTTGTACTTTCTCCTTCTGCAAATTACTAGGCTCCTTTAAACCATCTATCCAGCCTGTGCTTCAGGAGAGACAGTGGATGCACATGGAATGGGAGTATCTACTAAGAAAGCTCCCCAGGTAGGGTGAATTTTTGCCTTGTTCTCATTCTAGAACTGGTTATATTCTGGTCAAGATATGAAATAGCTTATCCGTTCTTGTTCCTCTGAATTATTTGCCAAGGTGACCACAATCTAAACTTTATAATAATTTATGATAACATTTTAAAAAACTTTACAGCAGTGTTCTTCAGTGTATAAGGTATGTCAGTTTATTTACATTTACATCAACAACCTGATTTGCTTTCATAGATGGAAACACACACATACTCTAATTAATATTCCACTCTTCAAAACTTAGAAAAAAATCTAACAGACTTCACCTTGATGAGGGAGAATTTAATAGGATTAGCAAAAATGGAGTTAGACTAGGGACAAAAAGTGTTTTGACTGTCAAAAATGCTGAAGTTCCCTGTATCTCAAACAGCATCTGAACTGCCAGGCATTATGCACCACTTCAAAAAACTTGAAATAAACACATGATCTTTGTAGTTAGGGGATTTCACATTATCTAAGATAAATATACATGATAAAAGATGTAAGTTTAATGCTCAAGGCCCTAAATTGTCACAAAATTTAAAAAGATCAGTTTTTCTTGAAGGTAGAGAGCAGGGTAGACTTAAATTTCATGTGAGAATGATGTGTGAGATGTATCTTAGTGATAGACAGAAGTTTCAAAGGTATATCGTGAAGGAAAATTATTCAAGGCTGCAAAAACAGTACATACAAAAGCATGGCATGATAGTGCAACTGAAGCCTTCAAATCTGGTCTCCAATTATGCAGAGCAGTGAAGATGAAAGTAGGTCTAGAAATTAGAAGTAGTAGTATCACAGAGAAAAACTATAAAAGTCAAAGGTAGAAATATTAAAAATAATATGGTGAGCAAAAGGTGTGATTGTTGATATGGTGGTAAGCACCTGTCTGTGGCAGAAATGGCTATTTCTAAATATCCAGTATTGTCTCCTTCAACAGGAACTGAAGTTGATTTTTAGGTGCGACCATAGAGACCAAGATGTCTTTTCTCTGTGTGTAAAATGGAACAAACATGTGGGTATTGTGAATTTGGTGCAAGTATTATGCTTCCGAAATATCTCCTAGGCCTCATCCTGTGTGCACTCCTTGCTGCTGCTTCTCATTCTTTTTTTCCTAGCTCCTGTTGCCTGAACCAATAGTGACACAAGGGCCATGAGGCCGAGACCACGTGTGGCTGATGAAAAGCACGATGATGAAAAGCAGCAGCATGCCAACCTGGGACTGCTTTTCACATCAACTCTGAGGTGAAAAATTAGCTTCACTCTTACATGAGGAGTTGCTACTTTAAGTTCATTCTCATGAGCCTCTGATTATTATCCCAGCTCCACTGGGACCTTAGGAAGAACAGCCTCAGTGGAAAGGCTGTGGGAAAATGCACACTGCAGGGGGTTGGGTGGTGAAGTCTTACTGAGTATAATTTAACCCTTACACGCAAAGACATGAGCTACATTTGTCATACCAAAAAAGCCATAAAGTTTTTATTTCTTATCAAACTGTATACTTTATTTAATGCTATGGACATCTCAATCTATGAAAACCAGGATGAATAAAACAGTCAGTTGTTACACCCAAAATACACCCATTCCTATAAATATTTTGAGTACCCTTCTTTAATACAGAATCGCCAATTAAGAAAATAACAATGAAATTCTTCTACTAATTCACATGATAATGACCATTAACAGTACAGAGCTATTCAACACTTACTATCCCATGAAGAAATGTGGTAAAGCAGTCAAAATACCTCCAGCTCCCATAATGGCACAACCTATTCCAATGAGTTTCGGCCTATGTAGTTTGGATCCAAAGTAACTTACAAACAGAATCACAAACAGGTTTCCTAGAAAGAGACAAAAATTATATTGGTATGATCCATTCCAGCAAATACTGACTGAGCCTAATTTTGTGGCCAATAATACTGAAGACCCAAGTGTATGCAAGTAGACCACAAATGTGGTACCTTTCCTGAAAGACTAGATAATTTAATTGAGGTGAAACTCAACCTACAATAAACCAGTCATTGAAAAGGTGTATAGTGCTACCAATAACTAAAACATATTTTTAATAAATAGTATAAACATCATGTATGTTATTGGATTTTTTAAAAATCAGAGTAGGTTTTAGACACTAAAGAAATCACTTGAAACATTTGGCAATATTAGTGGAACAGAATTTTAGTGAAGAATTGGAATTGACTAGATTATTTTAAAAAGGGAAAAAGGGAGGAGAAAAGTCTTCTTGACCTGAGGGAAATGTATCCATTAATACACTTACTCATGGATATCCAGCATTCTTTAAACACTTATTATGTACCTGCCATGGTGTCCAGAGCCAGAAATATAAGAAAAATAAATAAACTGTGGTACTGGTCCTTAAGAAATTTTATGTACTAGTGGTAAAAATTTCCAGTTGGACAGAGATACTATTAGACAAAAAATAAAGAGAAATTAGAAAATCTAGGGAATTCAGGAATATTTCCAGGAGGCCACTTAACAATTACTGGTAAATTATTTAGATTAAAAAGAAGAGAAAAGAAATAGAATATTCTAAGTGGAGAGAGTCACCAACAATTCTGTTCCATCAGGAGCTGAATGTATAACAATGAAAAGATAGAAATGATAGAAGTAATTACCGAACACCTAATAGAAAAAAATTTAACAGAAAAATACCAAAATGATCCAGTAGATAATTAAATAAGTATCAAATTTTTTAAAAAGAGAAACTGAAAAATCTAGTTATTATCTTTAGAGGTATAATAGCATGTTGCATCCATAAAATCAGAACTAGAAAACTAAAAATAAAGCAATAATCAATATAAGTTTAAAAATTATAGAAAATCCTATAAGTTAGAAGTTCATATGAGAAAATGGTAGACAGCATCTGAGGTGATTGCTGGAACATTTAAAAGGTAGAAATTTAGAAAGAAACAATTTTTAATAATGCAGAAAATTTAGCATTCATTTTACAGCTATTTCTGAAGGAAATAAATATGAAAATAGAGAAGCCAAAAAAGAAACAGAAAATAAATGTCCTCAGCTAAACCAAGATGTAAGCCTTCAATGAATCATTTTTCCATATCCAGCAGCAGTAAAATAAAAATAGACAGTCTTAGACATATGGGGGTAAAGTTCCTGAGATTCAAGCATATAAAGGAAATGCATATCAGTGTAGGAGAATCATATGAATAATGATTTTTCTCACATTCAACACTGAATGTTATAAAACAGTACATGAAAATTTTAAATGATCTAATAAAAATATTTTGAATTTTTAATTCCATGCCCAAATTATTGCTTCAACATGTGATGAAAATAAACATATTTCCAACAAGCAGGGAGTTGGAAATTATGCCATGCATTCAATGTTTTCTAGAAAAAAATTACTACTTGAAAATATACTCCAGAAAAACTAAAGATGAGACTCAAAGTCACAATATTTAAAAATCAGAACTATGCAAAGAAACCATAATGCTGTACAAATAATTGGTATTAAACAGTAGTAAAGTTTGACAGAAATATTAAGAATGAATGCCTTGATAAAGACACAGAATAAAATAAATTTTAATGCTAAAACTCTAATTTTAATATTCTAAATGCTTTTGTTAAACCTGCTTGTGGAAGAGTGAAGGATATAAAGTCATAAGATTGATGAATATAGGAGAAGATGCTAAAATTAAAATGAAGAGAACAAAGCAATATTTTCATTATTGGAAAAAAAAAAAAGAGTCTTAACTTCAAACATTTAAGAATAGTAGGAATTGAAATTAGTTTGTTCCAAAGCTCTTTCTTCCTGCTCAAATGATAAGAATCATAGCACTCCCTCAACCTTTGTTTTCACTTGGGCATTTTGAGAGAGGCAAGGCAAAACCTCACAAGCTGTTAATATGCAATGCATTGGCATGAGATCAAATGTTAAGATGTTTTGCAAAATCTTAACTGCTTACACTTGGTACTGGGTAATTTTTGTTGTCAGGTGTACTTCTGTGCCTTGTAGGGTGCTTCGCAGAACCCATGGCTTCTATTCCTAGGTGCCAGTTGCACACACAGCCCCAGAAGTTATTACAACCAAAAATGTCTGCAGATATTGGCAAATTGGCCTTGAGGGGCATATTTGCCCCAGTTGAGAACCAGAAGTATAGAGCATGTATGAACGGTATTTTTCCTCTGCAACTCTGATTATTAAAATAGAAATAAAAGTTACCAATTTCAAAGCCTCCATCAATTATACCAGCAACAGAAGAGGATATGTCAAATCTCCTTTCTATTTGCGTGATGGAAGTCTTCATAATCATTCCACCCAGTGTTTTGCAAATGTAGCTGCATGACAGAGCTACAAAGAACATCTAAGAAAAAGTGGAAGGAAAGGGGAAAATTGTTAATCAGAAGACCAGATTATGGATATGTGCACATTTTAGAAATTTTCTTTTTTACTTCAAAACATTGTTTTTAATTATAAAAGCATACCTATCTTTCCCTTTTAATGTTACCATTACCGTACAGATAAAACATCACTTTCTTTTTTCTTCTTTTTTATTTTATAAAATAATAAAACAAAATTTTATAAAATAATAAATCAAAATTTCATAAAAAATAATGAGAATAACAATAGTTAACACACTGTTCATTGTTCTCTTCAAGGTACCAAACATCAACAAGAAGGATTCTATCTTACAAAGAAGAAAAAAGTGGATATTAGCACAAAACTTGCTTTTCAATGAACAGAAATTAATATAAATGAAACAAATCAGCATATATATTAAAGTATTTTTGAAACAATGGAATAGGTAATTTGGAGAATCATTGACCCTCTCCCCACTTTCTACTTATCTATCTTCTATTTTGCTCTTAAATATACATACTTTGAGTCTCTCATATAAGAGAAACCATGAGATGTTTCATCTTGTGTGTCTGACTTAATTCACTTACATTATGCTCTCAAATTGGATTCATTTACCTAGAAATTCCTCAAGTTTCTCTTTCTTTATGGCAAGTAGTATTCCATCATGTATAAATACCACATTTTCCTTACCCATTCATCTGTTGAAGAACATATACGCTGTTTCCAAAATTTAGCTATTATACATTGTGCTGCCATAAATGTGAGTATGCATGTATCCCTGTAATAATATCCCTGTAATTTTACCTCTTTCTGGAAGATTCGTAGAAGGGGGAATAGCTGAATGGAGTTTCTACACACTGATTTCTGGTTACACTATCAGATTAGTAAGTATATCAATGCAGTTAGGACTGTTGTTTTTAATTAATGTCATTAACTGATTTATAATAACCAAAGCAATGTTCTCAGTTGGCCATGATGGTCACCTATTTATTTCCAGATGGACACCAGAGCCCAAATGAAGGTGATAGCAGGACATTCTCAAAGGCAGCATTTCCAGGAAGCCAGCTGAAAAATGGGGCTTTGAAGTGGCCAGGGGACATTTTACAAACAATACACATGACTGACAGTCAACCTATGAGGCAATGGTTATAGGTGTCTTAATTTTCACTTTAACAAAATTTATTGCTTGATCCTTTCTCTTTTAGCCCACACATCCACATCCATAAGCAAATTCCTTTTGCTGTATTATTAAAACCTGACCATATTATAGAAAGCATGTTTGTGTGTCCCCAGTGCTATATGTTGAAATCTTAACACTGAGAGTGACAGTGCCTGGAGCTACAGCCTTTGGGAAGTTGTTAGATGATGATAGCAGAACCTTTATGGCGGAGTTAGTTCTGCCATAGTAGGAGAAATGCCATGTGAGGACACAGCATGAAGATAGGCACCTGCACTTAGGGAAGAAGGTTCTCACCAGAACTCAACAATGATGTTGCCTTAGCCTCAGAGACCAAGGCTTCAGAAATGTGAGAAATACACTTGTGTTGTTAGGTCACCCGCTCTATGGTGCTCTATTGTCTGAACTATGATGAATACCTTCTCACTACCTCCTGTGCTAACAGTAGTCTCCACCGTCGTCATGTCTACCCTCGCTTATTATAACAGCTCCTGATACACCTTTCAACTTGTGCTCCTGTCCACCTAAGTTGTTCCTTATTTGGTAGCTAGAGAAATATTTTAAAAAAGAAAATTTTGTCATGTTGCTCCTCCATACCATTTAATCTAATTCATAGTATCTAGTCTTTCCAGTGATTTTAAACAGTGCCTAAATGACCCATCCTGTCTCCTACATCGCTTCCTTAACAGGGAAATTTCTTCTTTATAGTCAACTACTGCTCCCTGAATCTTTTTCATCCTTGATGTTCTTGCTCAAAGTTTTACTTTCACAGTAAGGTATTCCTATCCAATCTATTAAAAATTCTACCACTTTTCATTCACACTATTCTTCATTTTTCTATGTGTCCATTGTGGCTTGCTTGCACTAGAATGTAAATGTTATCAGGGCAGGGGTTGTGTTCCATTTTGTTCATTGTTAAAGCCAGGGATTTAGCTCAGTGGTGCCACACCTGCCTGGCAACCACAGGGTCTTGAGTTCAATTCCTGGTACCCCCCCCCCAAAAAATCAACACTTTGTTTACTGTTTTATCTCCAATGCTTAGAAAAATTCCTGGTGCAAAGAACTGGAACCTATTGTGCATCTTATATTTGGCCATACTTGAGAGTTAGGGATAAAAGTCCAACAAAACTCTTCCAGACCTGGCAAAATGTGTTTCTTGGTGCATAAGGAACTGTCAACTTCTATATGCTCTCAATGAAGAAAAAACTTGAAAAGAGCTGCTAAGTCAAACAACTTATTAGAGATAACTAAAATTTTTATATGAAATGTAGGAAGTCACCTAAAAATGAAACACAAACAGTGAAGTGTCAAAAGTAGTTTTCTTGAGTTAATGGTGTGAAGAACAAGACTCATAGGAGAAAGATATTAACTGACACAAGGGACTTGGAAAAGTAATTATGAAGATTTTCTTTAAGGAGAATCATTTCTGACATCTTGTAGAAATATATAATCTTTATAACATGCAACAGTTAATGAAAATTGTTTAGGACCTGATCATTTCAAAAATAATTTTATTAGTCCCAGAAATTAAAAAAAAAAAAAAAATGGTGGGTCTGCTGGGGATCTTCCCCAAAGAATTAAAAGAACCATACCACAGTGATATATGTGCACACATGTTCATAGCAGCACAGTTTGTAATAGCTAAAACCTGGAAACAGCCCAAATGCCCATCAACTGGAGACTAGATAAAGAAAATGTGGTTTTATTATAAAATGGAGTACTACTCAGCCATCAAAAATGAGAAATTAGAGACATTTATAGCTAAGTGGATGCACATTAAGGCAATACTCTT